ACAAAAGCCATGTTGACTCTTTCCCCAACATATCAGACACATAGATGAACCACAGTAACTGTTCTTTATTATTGTTTCAACCAATTTGCCTGGTACTGAAGTAGAGGACTATCTTCCTGAATCTGAAATAACAAGAAAAAATTGCTTTGACATTCTGTAATAATGGCATCTCTCTCAAATAAATCTTACATTAATTTATGAAACTGGCAGCACTGTCTCTGGGGAGTGACTATAGTGAGCAAGTACTTTTTTTTTTTTACATGGTGGACTTGAACAAGGATTGCACACTATTAGTCTATGATGGAAGAACAAATACAGTTGGTAACCAGTAGGTATTCTGCCTATTGATCCATTGTTTGTACTTCTGTTGTCAAAAGCTGATGCTGAAGTCTTGGATGAGTTACATTAACTAGCATTCAAAGCAAGGAATTTATTTAAAAAAAAATTACATGTTTTTGAATATTGGTAAAGAAGGCTGGACATGAAACAGAAGAAAATGGGCACTATTGAAGTCTTCAGCCATGTGGGAAACAAAGTCATGCTAATTAACAGAGAAAAGTGTATTTGTATAAATAGTGCAAAGGGAGATCTTGCCAGCTATGAAGAAACTCTGAAAGCAGTACATTTCATACAGAATTATATAATGATTGGTTCTAGGTAGGTACTTCATAAACTACCATTTGTTTTTTTTTCTCTCTTTGTACTATACAAATATTTCCATTTGTGAAAACGAATAAAAAGTTTTATAAAAAGTCTTCTTGTGACTGGATTTTATGTAGGTATCTTAGATTATTACAGATTGAGTGATATAACTGTTAATATTAATAAGTTTCATATAATTATGAGAACTGATTTGTTTTCAGATTGTGAGGGAGATTTTTAGTTGAAGTCAGGTGCCTGTCTGATCTTTGTGTCTTTGAAAAACTGCCTCTTTAAATTTCTGGGGCAAGGACTGTATTTTTGCATACTGTATAGTGCCAAATGAATTGTTGGCACTAAATAAATAATTATTGTACTGTTTAATTACAAATAATCAAATCTTTGAGTTGTAACCTTCCAAAATAATCTGCACTGATTTTAAAAGTGATTTTTCCTTAGTCTTAGTTCCATAGGATACTGTCCAGAAGCAATAATAATGATAATTAGTTCTTTCACATGTCTTTGATGAAATGTGTTGAAAAGATTGGGAGTTTAAGGTAGTTACAAAACAGTGTAGCAGTGTTGAATTAAATTAAACACTATTCTGCTTTGCAAAATCTTAGATTCTTCTAAGGCAGAGACCATTATGGTTTCCTAATATGACTTCATTGTATTTTCACTAGTTATTCCTTTATCAAGCTTATAACTTCTGGTTGAGCTAAAGTGTATTTCTAGAAAGACATCCAGTCCTGATCTAAAGACTTTAAGTGATGGAGAATGCATCGTATCTCTTGGTAAATTGTTCTAATGGTTAATTACACTGCCTTAAAAAAAATAATCTTATTTGTAGCCACAATTTATTTAGCCTCAGCTTCCATGTAAGTTGTTCTGATGGCAGCTAAAGATCATCTGGCAGTCCGAAATTTTTCTCTGAAGTACAGAAAATAAGAGATCGGATCTATAGTCTCCGCTATTTCCCTCAGCCCCTCAGTTCAGGCCTCTGCTTCTCTTTTGTTTCTAAATAATCATTAATAGCTTTATTCTCAGTACCTCTCAAAGCATCTGTGTGATGGCATCCAGAATTCTCTGCTTTCTCCTTGTCTTTTCTCTCAGGCCTGGTCTACACGGGGCGGGGGGGAGGGATCGATCTGAGGGTACGTCTACACTACCTGCCGGATCGGCGGGAAGTGATCGATCTACCGGGGATTGATTTATCACATCTAGTGTAGACGCGATAAATCGATCCCTGATCGCTCTGCCATCGACTCTTGTACTCCACTGCGGTGAGAGGCGGAAGTGGAGTCGATGGGGGAGTGGCGGCGGTCGACCCCGTGCCGTGAGGACATGAGGTAAGTCGACCTAAGATGTGTCGACTTCAACTACGCTATTCTCGTAGCTGAAGTTGCGTATCTTAGGTCGATCTCCACCCCCCCCCCCAATGTAGACCAGGCCTAAGTTGTGCAACTTCAGCTATGTGAATAACGTAGCTGAAGTCTACGTTCTTAGATCGACTTACCGTGGTGTCTTCACTACCGTGAGTCGATTACTGCCGCTGCCCTGTCGACTCTGCCTGCGCCTCTTACCGAGCTGGAGTACAGGAGTCGACAGGAGAGCGCTCGGGGATCGATTTATTGTGTCTAAACTAGATGCAATAAATCGATCCCCGCTGGATCGATCGCTGCCTGCTGATCTGGCCGGTAGGGAAGACATACTCTGTCTTGCAACTCTTGGATGTCCATGCTGTTTAGATTATGCCCCTTAAGACTCTGTTTCCACTTTATATAGATGCATCCCCTTCACTGGTCATATCTAATTATGCAAACCTGCATTGCATTTTGCTTCTCCCTGGAACTCCACTTCCAAACACCTTACTACATCTTGGTAGCTCCACAGGTGTCTAGTTTCTGGCTCTCTAGTGACTCTTCCAGTTAATATGAACAGTTAGCAGTTTATTTTAATTTTTTGCCAATAACTTAGAACACTACCCTAAAAACTGGTAGGCTTGAGTACATGAAAGTTTCCCTCTGATTGTCTCCCAGAGTTTCTTCCAAGGTTTTATTCCTTTTTATAGGCTTCACTGCTCTGAAACTCAAACATAGTATGAAGCTGAGTGTGTATGTACACGTTTCTCAGCTTGTTTCTGTTGAACGTAGTAGGCCAGATTTTCTTAAGTGTAAAGGCTACATCATCATGTTCACAAACCCCAATAAGGGCACAAATACCTGCAGTTTAGCATGTGCAGTTTTGAGGGGGGAGGGATAGCTCAGTGGTTTGAGTATTGGCCTGCTAAACCCAGGGTTGTGAGTTCAATCCTTGAGGGGGCCATTTAGGGATCTGGGGCAAAAATCTGTCTGGGGATTGGTCCTGCTCTGAGTAGGGGGTTGGACTAGATGACCTCCTGAGGTCCCTTCCAATCCTGACATTCTATGATTCTTGATTTGGACTTAAATAACATGCAAGAGTTGGTTCAAAAGTAACAGTAACTGAGTCATTAAGTAATAGTGACCACAATTTAATTATGTTAAACATCCCATTGGGGGGGAAAGATAGCTAAAACTAACAGTGATGCTGAACTTTGAAAAGGGAAAGCTCAGTAAAATTAGGGAGGCAAAGTAAAAAGGAAGGAAAGTAAAATCCTTGGATATGGCCTGGATGCTACTTTAAGATTACAATAATAGAGTCTCAGAATGCATAAATAGTTCTGAACAAAAAGGGAAACAGGAGGGTAAGAGTAACCCACCATGACTAAATAGCAAGGTTCAAGAGGTTGAGTTGACCAGTTTCTTCAAACTTTGGAAAATTAACCCTGGTGAAGCCAGTAAGAGGGGCATGAATTACAGTAGGAGAAAATTTAGGAGGGATGGATTTCAAAGAGGAAATAGCTAAAAATATAAAAACAAAGCACAAGAAATTTCTGTAGATGTATCACAAGTAAGAAATAGAAGAATTAAAATATAAAAAATGTTTTAACATTGATATTACATTTCTTCAAATCATTAGAAGTACCTCAAGGTAGCGTTTTGGGATTCTTGTTTAGTGTTCATACATGACAGTTTTAATAATTTCTTAAAAGAAAGGACATTACTAGACTAAAAACTGTATTAAGATTGAGAGTACCTATCGGTAATCTCAGGATATAAAATATTTCAGGGATGTTGTGATTATTTCAGAAACAAGTAGTTCAAATCCAGGAAAGCTAGAGTTAATGTATTTCCATATTTTGGGTTTTGTGTTTGTAATTCTTGTTCTGGGGATAATTTCAACGTCCCTGCAATGTTTTATACCCTTAAGTTACTGATATGTGCTCTCAACCTTAAGTCTAAACAGATTTTTGTCTGGGACTATAACAGCATTTTTTCCCTAGAAGCTAGGCTTCTATCCCTTTATTTGAATTTTGTGGATGTAAAACTGAGGACTTTGCAGATCTGGTGGAACTTTTTGCAAAAGTAAGGGTGCTGTTCTTAATGTAATTAACTAATTTGGAATGTGGGCAGGATATATGGCTGCATAAATATTCCTGTATAGTTAGTTTATATTTTTCTTCATTTCTTCTGTTAAAATGTTATACAGTGAATGCAAAGCACAGAAAGGCTGCTGAGTTCCAACCCAGAGTGCACTCCACTTTCATGGTGGGCACTCAATCAATTGCACTAAATTGATGTAAAGTTATTTGAGTTACATATATTGATTTTTATTTTTCATCAACAAGTTTAATATGTAAGTATTACATCATGCTGTAGTTTTGTTTAGTTCTAACAAGTAGTCTTGATTATTAATACGATAATGGACAGTGAATCAGAAAGATAATATTCATTTGGTTTACCATAAAACTTAAAATGTTCTACTCTGAAAACTAATTGAAAAAAGACGTGGCATTCCTTATATATTTATTTTTTTCAATGACTTTCATATCAAATGTATTAGTTGTACAAATAAAAAGATGGGGGATATTCCAGCTACCAATCCTATAGTGTTTCACAGGACAACTGGTGTATAAGCAATTCTTGAAAAATGTTTTGGAATTGTTAACTTCTATATGAACAACCACAAGCAAGCATATTATGGGATATTAGTTAACTTCTCACTGAAATAATAACACCGCTGACTTTACAAAATGCCACCAGTAGTGGCTCACGGGGAGGGCGCTTTGGAATCATAGAACTGTCTGGGATTCTCCCTCTCTTGACATCAGGTTCTATCATGTCTTGTTAAGAGTATTCCTGCTAACATTACTGCTAGATAAGCTTTCAAACCAATTTCAAATTGCATAGCAGTGGAAAAACTTTTAAATGGACTGATATTATGAGTGATGTATGGAAGTAAAGTGGACTAATTATACTTGTTCATTCATTACTTCACAGGTACTGTAAGAATTGAAATGTTCAGGAACATGCAAAATGCAGAAATCATCAGGAAAATGACTGAGGAATTTGATGAGGTATAGTATATAAATATTTACACTGAAGAGTTTTTGAAAACTGGAAATATAAGAGTGCAATATATTTTCCTTCAAAACGGCATAATTTTGTTTGATGGGCACTGGGGCTTTTCAGAAACCACTGGGCTTTATTCTAATGGATAAGCAATATCTCAGTAGAAGAAACTGTACTGACCGAGAGTAGAGACAGATAAAGTGACTATTCAAACAAATAGATTAAGAAGTTAGAAGGTTGCATTGGTATAGAAAAAGTATATGCAGAGACTAGCAGAGGAATAGGAAGAAAATACTAAAAATGTGTAAATGGTAGTTTCTAGAAACATTAATCAGAGACACAAAAGGACACTTAAAAAACAATTATCCCACACCACTGAAGTCAGTGGTACTTCTGCAATGGGAGTAGGATCAGGCACTGCTGGTTAAAGGATAAATTACAACAAGGTGTCACAAAAGGAAGGGATCTTGCCTAAGAAATCTGAAGTTATTTTTGCATCATGGAGCTGTGCATGGAGTTTGTGTTTTTATATATATAGATATAGATAATACAATATAAAAAACCCTTTCAGCCTTGAATTGTTTAAATGTTCAGAGAGTAGGGGGCGGGGAATCAAATGGCTAGTGACAGCCAAGAGATATCCAGTCAGAGTTCTTGAGACTCAGACGGAGGAGAATCAGTGTTGGAGAAGGGAAGCTGAAGAGTGGAGGAGGAGGACTGGCAGGGAATGAAGAGGCAGGGCTTTTCAAATGCATTTCTATATATGGTGGGGACACTTAAGGGAAGTGGGAGAATAGATCATTTATATGGGTCAGATAGTAGCAGCCTTTAATCTTTGCCTCAGTAAGTATTCAGTAACTCAGTTATTTCAAGATCAGTCTTTTCTTTGTCCATCATCCTTCCCCTTTCTCTTCCAAACATGACTTGACCTGAAAATGGTTTCTCATAATCAGGAGATAAGGTGGGTGAAGTAATATCTTTTATTCGACCAACTTACACCGAGTTCTTCATAAACATAGCATTCTGAGGCTTTTAACATATATCATACTCCAACAAAATGGACATGGTAATATGCAGTCACAAATGAAATAAGCCTTGTAGGATGACAGACCCAAAGGGCATGAGATCAAATGGAATCTGGGAAGTTAGGCATGGAAAAGTTCTATCAGATGACCAAAAGTTGCAAGCAGTGGAGTTTCCACCACTTCCTTTGGGAGACTACTCCACAGTATAATTCATTTCACACCAAGGAGGTATTTCCTGACATTCAACTTACATTTTGTTTCTCTAAATGTAGCATCAGTACAGGATATTTAGTCATGGGATTCACACTTCCAGTGTAAGACAGAATCCTTTAGCTGAAGAGTTTTGTGGATTCCTTGTTTGACTCTTTGAGGTACAGAAGTGCTAGATAGTGTGCAAGGCCATTCTGGCTCGGGGGGAGGGATGGCTCAGTGGTTTGAGCATTGGCCTGCTAAACTCAGGGTTGTGAGTTCAATCCTTGAGGGTGCCGTTTAGAAGGATCTGGGGCAAAATCAGTATTTGGTCCTGCTAGAGAAGGCAGGGAGCTGGACTCAATGACCTTTCAGGGTCCCTTCCAGTTCTATGAGATGGGCATATCTCCATACATTATTATTATATTGGCTAGAGATAATACGTACTTTCACTATTTCTGTCTCTAGAAACATACGAGTTTCTTCTTGATCTCATTCAGTGAAGGAAGTCCCCAAAATAACTATAGCTTGACGCCAGGGACTGCTGCTTTGGCTCTCTGCTGATCATGCAGCCATACCTTTCTTGCTTTTAGACATGCCTTTTCACTTAGATCCATAATAATGTAGTTGTTTTTGTTGGCGTGTGATGCTTTACTCAACACTCTGGGTCTGTTGATCCTGAGAGTAAAGGCCTGTTCAGCCCTGTGATTCATCTGCAGCTCATCTTGCAGCAGCCACTTCATTTCTCCCGTTGGAGCATTTCCATGTTTTATTAGTTGTTTCATGGTATTCAGAGGCTTATTTTTCCATGCCAGAACTTTGCCATTTGTTTGACCCTTCTTGCATGTTTTTCAGCACGTTGGCATATTTTGTCAGAGGTTCAGTGAATGTTGTTTTGCTTCACTACAGACTTTCAGTGCTACTTACTTTCTGCTGGTTGTTTTGGAGCCCTCTCTTGGTCTTTTGCTGTCTTCTTCCTCAGTGCTTCAATATGTGTTTCTCTCAGTGCTTTCTACTTTTTAGGATTGTATCTGCTATCTCAGTCCCTGTGGAGGACGGAAAGTAGCTCAGCAGTTCATGAGGTGGAAAGATTTAAATCATGGATGATGTGCATCCTCTGTACATTGGTCTGATTCAGGGAGGAGTGCGCCTTCCACTATGTCCAACTCTGATGCTAGCGGAACCACCACAGATCCCATGGCAGGACCTAGTTGGGAGATAAAGAAGCTCTCCCATAAGCATAGACTTAGCCTTCCTCCAAATCAAAGATGGACACTCTCTCCACCAGCTTGGCCCAAGGAGACAGTATGTTCCAAGTCCCACAAGCATTAGAAAAAGATCCCATAAACAATGGGATCCAGAGAGATCTGGAGCTGTGTCTGCACCTCAAGATATCTTTGCCTTGCTGAATCCAGTCTCCCCCTCAATCAGGTCCCTCCACTTCCAAAGAGATCATATCCCCACCATGGGACATGCCTACGATACTGGGTCCCTCACCCTTTGCTCCTATGCTCTACACTCTCCTGTCGGCTCCAATAGTACTGTTATTAGAATCAGAGTCTGCCTTTTCCTCTTCTGATGAGTCAGAACTGGGGGAAGAACCACCCTTACCATACCACTCCTGTGCACAATCACGGAGACCAGCATGTCCATGCAACAACTGCTTCCTCATCAACTCCAGAGCCACTGGTATCCCATCCTATGGGGTCCCCCACAATCTCAGGCAGATCCACCCTGTTGGTCATATTGTGGATCCTGGGCACAATATCTCCCCTCCAGCATGCTCGATCCGCAAGAGAACCGTCACCTGCTTCCCCCTTGAAGGATCCTTTCAGCAGGGACACGGATCTGATGTTGGAGGAAGAACTTTCTAGCCTGGTCCCAGTGGTTCCACTGGAACTAGCAAGATTCCCTTCCTTTTCACCAAATGAAGCAATTGCTACATCATCCCCTCCCCGCCTGATGACTTCAGACAATTCCAGGAGCTTTTGCGGAGAGTTGGAGGGTACTCTTGGTCAGTGGCGAACATCAACGCTGCCTCTACTGCTTGGGAGAAGCCCACATTGCATCCAGGTGCAGTATCTGTCAGTCCTTCCCTAGCCATACCTGAGAAGGCTGGGCTCTCCTTTTTCGGTAGCACCTTATGGAAGTCACCATGAGGCCTCCCTCGGACCCAAGCTGGCCAGGGAATCTCCTCCGTACATCGGCCTGAAACAGCCAGGAGCATGCCTCCTGCTACTGAGTCTGGATCTGGTACCGGTGGACTATGGACCCCACGCCAGGACCTAGTTGGGAGGTAAGGAACCATGCCCATAAACGTGGTGTTAAATCTTCTTTGAAACTGAAGAAAGGGGATGCTCCTTCCATGAGTTCGAGTCACGGAGAGGGAACGCGCTCTAAGAACATAAACACAAGATGAAGTCCCACAAGCAATGGGATCTGGCGATCCCGCGTACCAAACTGCAGGTACTGTAGACATCAGCATCCCATAAAGTGCGGAATCCATCCAGTCTGGGGAAGTCCACTGTTCTGCCACTAGTGCTGTGTAAGAAGAGGGCACCTTTAACACCAGGGAGATCAGGAAAAGCACTCCAACACCAAGACGTCTTCACCTTAGAAGAACCGAGATCGCCACGTTTGCTGGGAACCTGCACCTCTAGGGAGACTGTTTCTCCCACTCATGACATCACCATTACGAGACCCCTCACCTCCTGTTCCAATGGTCTCCACATCTCTATGGAACCGGAGTCCACGTTTTCATCCTCGGAAAAGTCGGATGATGGACAAGGACCATCCATCCCCTACCACCAGTACAGGTACTCCAGAAGACCATCTATATCGTGTCAATATCCTCCATCTCCACCATGGGGCCCGCCACAACACTTTCCAGATCCAGCATACTGGCCCTGTTCGGGGCCCTAGTCCCAATACTCTCTTCCCCCTCCCCCTCCCCAACCCGTCCGGTCCTCCAGGGAAACTTCACCTGCCTCCCTATTAAGGGCGCCTTCGAATAGATGCTCAGAACCGATGCTGGAAGAGGAGCCTCTTAGCCCGGTTCCAATGGTGCCATGGAACTGGAGAGATTTTAATCTTTCTCACCAGATAAGGCAGTAACCTCAGCATCCCCTTTGCCTCCAGACGACTTCAGAAAATTCCAGGGCTTCCTCCGTAGAGTGGCAGGGGAGCTTCATCCCATAGAGGAAATCCAGGATACACAGCGTAAACTCCTGCATATCCTTCATTCATCTGCACCAACTAGAGTTGCTTTGCCGATCAATGATGCTATCCTCGAGCCAGCTAGGAAAGTATGGCATACACAGGCATGCATACCCCCAAAGAGGGGTTCCAGCTAAGGGGTCTGAGATTCTTTTCTCCCCCTCCCCCCCGAATTCACTTGTTGTCCAGCAACACCCACCTTCCACACTATGCAACAAGAGGACTAGAAGTTGGACCTTTCAGGCCGTAAGGCCTTTTCCTTGGCCACCCTTCAATTCAGGATTTCAAACCATCAGGCTTTACTAGCTAAATATGATTTCCTGAATTATAGCAAACGAGTAATTTACTGAAAAACTTACACAGCAAGACTGAGCTCGTGTCTAGGTGATCATGGAGGAAGGGAAACTGGTGGCAAGAACAACGCTTCAGTCAATGGTGGATATATCTTCCAGGTCTATGGTTTTGGACATAGTTATGTGGAGGGAGTCATTGCTCCGCTCCCTTGGTTTACGCAGGGAGGTACAGAACACCATCCAAGACCTCCATTTTGATGAATCTCATCTTTTTTAATCAGAAAACGGATGATTCACTTCATACCCTCAAGGATTCCAGTGTTACCCTGCATTTGCTGGATATTTATACACCTGCCCTGAAGAGTAGATTCTGCCGCCCACACAATGATACAAGTCCTCCCAGTTTTTTCCACCAGAGACCTTATGAGCTTCCACAGAAGCAGTAGAAGATACAGAGATCCTGGCCCCAGGACCACTTTCACAGACTTCCTCCACACAGATGCAACCCCCAGCTAAAAGATATTTCTGGAATATTCTCAAGAGCCACCAACCACCTTGTCTACCACAATGTGAACACCTTCCTCCCTTCCCTTTTTCCCTAAGCTTAAAGTGCAATAACAATGGACAAATGGGAGCTAAATGTCATCCACCATGGGTATATGATTGAGTTCATCACACTACCTCATCCGCAGCCCCCCTGGTCACTCCTCAGGGACCACACTCATGACAGCATCTTCACCCAAAAGATGAGAGCCTTATTACAATGAAGAGCGATAGAGTGCATTCCTGTGGAAAAAGTTCTATTCAGCTTACTTCCTGATATCCAAGAAGAAAGGCGGATGGAGACCAATTCTGGATCTGCAGTTTCTCAAGTCCAAGTTTTGTATGGTCACACTAGCAGCGGTCATCCCATCCTAGAAAAAGGCATGTGGTTGCCTCTCGATATGCAAGACGCTTTCACCGACATCCATCTGGCCCATAGACAGTTCCTGCGGTTCATGATCGGCTCACCCCATTTCCAGTGCAATGTTCTTCCATTTGGACTCACCACCATCCCCAGAGTCTTCACCAAGGTTTTCTCCATCATGGTAGCCTACATCAGGTGTTATGGTGTCCTCGTATTCCCATATTTTGATGAATGGCTCCTGGTGGCATGATCCAGATGTGAAGTCCAAGTTTCGACCTCCATGTTCCTCAGCCTCCCTTCCTCCCTCGTGGTCAATGTTGAAAAATCAACCTTGGACCCCACACAATCCCTAGACTTTATAGGGATCACCATCAACTCAGACAGGGCACTCTGCCTACCACGGAATAGGTTCCACACAGTGCAAGAACGAATAACTTGCATAATCAACAGTCCTTCTGTCCCGGCCAGGACATGCCTGTCCCTCCTTGGCCACATGGACTCGTGTACATACGTCACTGTCTTCGCACAGCTCCACCTTTGCTGCCTCCAGATGTGGCTCCAGATGGCTTATTCTCCCAAGCATCATGGCATGGACCTCATGCTGATGGTTCCCCACAAGGTAATTTCATCCCCCCCCAATGGTGGATGGACCTATGTCATGTCTGCATAGGGTTTCTTTCTTCACGTCCTTCCTGGACAAGATTATCATCAGCAATGCACCCCGTGTAGGCTGGGGAGCACAAATGGGCAATCACATGATACAGGGAACATGGACTCCAGGGGATTGCAGGAAAGGAAAGGGTAGTCTCATGGTTAGGACATGTGAATTTTACCCTAGGGAACTGGATTCTATCTCTGCCTCTGCCATGGAGGCCTTATGTAATGCTGGGCAAGCCAGTTAAACCAAACTTTTCACAGGTGGTCACTAATTGTGCATACTTCATTTTCTGGGTGCCCAACTTGAGGCCTTCGGGTCTGATTTGCGAAAGAATTGAGCATTCGTAGTTGCATTTAAAGTCAATGGGAGCTGTGCACTGAACATATAAAGTGTTATGTATAATGCCAAGTACTATTAAAAATCAGGTCCTAGTCATCTCAAATAGGGCACTCAAAATTAATGGAAACTAGATCTCCCTGTGTCTTAGTTCTCCATTTGTAAAAAGGGATAAATATCAGTTCATCTCACAGGGGTGTTGTGAAGCTAAATTAATTAATGTTTGTGAAGCATTCGGATATTCTAGTGATGATTACCATAGAAAAGTCCATGAGGAAGTTAGTAATTCTGTCTTCAGAGTAGGGTTTGAATATTGTGCAGCAAATAAAGTCTAGGAGCCTTAACAACAAGAAGACAACAAAATATTGAATAGTTGCTCATTAAATGGTCAGCATCCATTCTGTGCACTGAATAAGGCAGTGTCTTGTGGAAAAAATCATATGCGATCATGTAATTAAAGACTGTATCTTAATGTATGTACATGGGGAGAGGGGGTGAATTAAAGTTGCACGGGTGACCGGAATTCTGGCATTTCACAGCTTTTATCTGCTTGACTTTGGAACCTTAATAATGTTCTTTTAGGTTTTTCTGTGCATATTTGATTTGTATAGAGTAAATGCATTATTTTAATGTTGGCTGCCAGATAGTAATTGTAGTGTGTGCAGCTTTCTTCTTCAGTACTAACAAGTTATTTGAAAATAAGAGTTTCACATCTGCTTATTTACATTGCACATTTCAGTCTGCTCTGAGAGAGGAGTCCTAAGGAAATAATAGCATTTGATCACATAATTAAAAGCTGTATCAGAATGCATATGCACAAGGAAGCAGACTTAAAGCTTCACAGAAACTTTAACTTTAGTATTGCCTGACTTTTGATCATAACTCTGAAACATTCAAGTTTCATAGGGTTGTTTTGATGAAATACGTAATCACTGATGATATGGAGAGACAGCAGTCAATCTGTAGTTAAAGCTGCCACTGAGTTTATATTTTACATGTAGTCCTTTCACTCTGGAGGATAACAAAGCACTTACAAACTGTGTATGTGCAGTGCCATCAAAATGCAGCTATGTCTGAGATGATAAGGTTGGGAGGATAGTAAGGGAGAGGTGACAGACTGAACTGAAGGTATCATATTCTCACTTCCACCATGTAATGACTGAAAAGTGGGACTAGGAACCTGGTTTTGTGCCCAGTGCAGTCAATAGTAAAGTTCCCATTGCTTCAATGGTGCAGGATACAGCCCTAAGAGAAAGGGAAATCCATATACACAACAGAAAATCATGTGTGTTTTCCTTTTTGTAGAATACAAATTCTGTGTATAAAATAGGATTGAATGGGAAGCATTTGTAATATAGAGTATAAACGTTTTCTCTTTTTTCAGGACAGTGGTGATTACCCGCTTACCATGCCTGGGCCACAATGGAAAAAATTTAGATCAAACTTTTGTGAGTTCATTGGAGTGCTGATTCGACAGTGTCAGTATAGCATCATTTATGATGAATATATGATGGATACAGTGATCTCTCTTCTGACTGGTTTGTCGGATTCCCAGGTCCGAGCTTTCAGGCATACTAGTACACTTGCTGGTAAGTAAGCACAAAGGGTGGAGTTTTCCATATACTCATTGGCCTAAGTCTCTCCCCATTGAATTCAAAGGAAGTTTTACCATTGACTTCAATGGAAGCAGAATAAGACATACACTGAGTGCTTTTGAAAATCACACTCAGATTCTAAATATCACACATTTTAATTCTACTAAAGTTCAGTTTTCCTAATTAAACATGTGTACACTAAACTATGATATAAAAAGTAGGAATTCTTCAGTAGTATGGTTAAATATTAATAGACAATTGAGTTGTTTTCAGTTTTATATTTTTCAATGCAGTGGGTTATATTTATACAGTCTACTGTATAGTTTTCCAATTCTCATGGCATCTTTGATGTTTTAAAACATTATTTTCTGTATGAATGTATTGCTTGAGAAAAATCCTTGACTGTCAGTCCGAAAACTGAAACTCTCTGCTTACCTACCAGCCACATGCAGTACAGGCAGTAGCAGTGCAAACTGTTACTGATGCTTCCCCGCAATGTGCCACGAACCTGCCTTGAAAGCTCACTTCATGTCTCTGAAGGTTGCCAGTTACAGTGAAGGCAGCTTTCTGACATAGACTCTTGTCCACAAAGGACTGAGCTGTTGTATTGTATTAAGAACATAAGAACGGCCATACTGGGTTAGACCAAAGGTCCGTCTAGCTCAGTATCCTGTCTTCCGACAGTGGTCAATACCGGGTGCCCCAGAGGGAATGAACAGATCAGGTAATCATCAAGTGATCCATCTCTTGTCGCCCTTTGCCAGCTTCTGGCAAACAGAGGCTTGGGACACTATCCCTGCCCATCCTGGCTAATAGTCATTGATGGACCTATCGTCCATGAATTTATCTAGTTCTTTTTTTAATCCTGTTTTAGTTTTGGCCTTCAAAATATCCCCTGGAAAAGAGTTCCACAGGTTGACTGTGCGTTGTGTGAAGAAATACTTCCTTTTGGTTGTTTTAAACCTGCTGACTATTAATTTCATTTAGTGACCCCCTAGTTCTTGTGTTATGAGAAGGAGTAAATAACACTTCCTTATTTACTTTCTCCAAACCAGTCATGATTTTATAGACCTCTGTCAGATTCCCACTTAGTAGTATCTTTTCCTAGCTAAAAAGTCCCAGTCTTGTTAATTGCTCTTCATATGGAAGCTGTTCCATCCCCCTAATCATTTTGATGCCCTTTTGTGTACCTTTTCCCATTCCAGTATATCTTTTTTGAGATGGGGCAACCACATCTGCACGCACTGTTCAAGATGTAGGCACACCATGGATTTATATAGAGGAAATATTATATTTTCTGTCATCTTATCTATCCCATTATAATGATTCCCAATGTTCTGTTAGCTTTTTAGACTGTCGCTACCCATTGAGTGGATGTTTTCAGAGAACTATCCACAATGACTCTAAGATCTTTTTCTTGAGTGGTAACATCTAATTTAGACCCCATCATTTTATATGTTTAGTTGGGATTATGTTTTCCAATATGCATTACTTTGCATTTATCAACATTGAATTCATCTGCCATTTTGTTGCTCAGTCACTCAGTTTTTTGAGATTCCTTTGTAACTCTTCGCAATCTGCTTTGGACTTAAGTATCATGAGTAGTTTTGTATCATCTGCAAATTTTGCCACCTCACTGTTTACCCCTTTTTCCAAATAATTTAAGAATATGTTGAACTGTGCTGGTCCCAGTACAGACCCCTAGGGGACACCACTATTTACTTCTCTCCATTCTGAAAACTGACCATTTATTCCTACCCTTTATTTCCTATCTTTTAACCTGTTACTGATCCATGAGAGGACCTCCCCTTTTATCCCATGACAGCTTACTTTGCTTAAGAACCTTTGGTGAGGGACCTTGTCAAAGGCTTCTGAAAATCTAAGTACACTATATCCACTGGATCACCCTTGTCCACATGCTTGCTGACCCCCTCAAAAGATTCTAGTAGATTGGTGAGGAATGATTTCCCTTTACAAAAACCATGTTGACTCTTCCCCAATAAAGCATGTTCATCTATGTGTCTGATAATCCTGTTCTTTACTATAGTTTCAACTAGTTTGCCCAGTTCTGAAATTAGGCTTACTGGCCTTTAATTGCTGGGATCGCCTCCGGCACCTTTTTAAAAAATTGGTGTCACATTAGCTATCCTCCAGTCATCTGGTACAGAAGCTGATTTAAATGATAGCTTACACATCACACTCAGTAGTTCTGCAGTTTCACATTTGAGTTTCTGCATAACTCTTTGGTGAATACCATCTGGTCCTGGTGATGTATTACTGTTTAGTTTATCAATTTTGCTCCAATACCACCTCTAAAAACACCTCAATCTGGGAAAGTTCCTCAGAATTCATTTAGTTTCTCCTCAATGGCCTTATCATCCTTGAGTGCTTCTTTAGTATCTTGATCGTCCAGTGGCCCCATTGGTTGTTTAACAGGCTTCCTGCTTCTGATGTACTTAAAATGTTTTTACTATTACTTGTTGAATCCACTGAGGGTCATATGCATGCACCATGCATCAAGAGCTGGAGATTTTGAAAGTAGTAGCATCTGTTGGTCCACACGTGTGCCCTTGCGCCGCCTCATGGTTTCGTCCCAGGTGATAAAGGGCGGGGTGGACCGACCACCCCTCAGTTCCTTCTCACTGCCTCCCTTCCTCTCCCCCCTACCCTCCCAGACTATGGCCAGGAATCCAGGCTTCAAAAGCCATGTTTCCTGCCCGCGCTCCTTGTCTGAGTGAAGAACACCAGCGGTGCCTCTACTGCCTTGGCAAGGCACACATGGTGGCACACTGCACCATCTGTAAGTCCCTCCTGCCCTGGATCAGGGAAGCCCGTGAGCTCTGCCTTTGCAAATATCTAATAGAGGAAGCAATGAGGCCCTGGGTGCACTAGGATCCAGGCCCAGGAGAACCCCCTGTACAGCAGCCAGCACTGGCGGTGAGCACCCCTCTGAGCACTGCTCATGCCTTGGAACCAGCAGTACTGAAGGCTAAGGACAAGTCCCGACATGAGAGCAGAAGACACACTCATGGGCATAAGAGCAGGTCCCCGCAGTGGACTGCTCCCAAGTGCAGTGTTTCCTCCCCGAGCTGATCCAGGTTGGGTGAGACGTTGCTCACAGAACCAGCTGCACTGGATTCCCCAGGTGGAAGGTAAGGCCAGGCGCAAATGGGATCCGATGGTGATCTCATCACACAACCAGAATGCTCACTGGTACACGCACCACCCACTTCGCTGGTGCCCACACGCCTCCCAGACAGGTTGGCCCACCAGACACCCGCCAGGCCCCTTCAGCATCTCCATTGGTGCTCCATGGACCCCTGACCGCTCAGAGACATTCTTGACAGCAGAGGAGTTAATCCTCCCATCCCTGCAATCTCTCTTTCTCTCCAGCCCTCTGCTCGCCTGCGACATCCGTACTCCTAAGGATGAACCCCTTCTGCTGCTGATGGAGAAGCCCAACTCTGACTCATCACAGCCCTCTGGTATGAACAGTCTTCTGAATCTGAGGAGTTCTCGGAGCTGGACCAGTCTTTTTCCTTGATGCAACACCAGTGTCTTGGATACATGACCCGGACTGCCCTCCCCTCTGGCATATGACCCTACAGAAGGGGCCTGGTACTATGTCTGATGGACCCCTCTCTTTGGCTGAACCTGGGACCCCATTGGTCCCAGGTTCAGCCAAAACCAGTGACTACCACAGACAGCACACACTATCTCAGGTGTCTACTGACCGTCCACTAGCACCATCGGTGTATGAAGAAGAGGAGGACATTGAGCTGGTGCTGCTAGCTCCACCGGTCCCGACTGGCATATCCTCGACACTGGATGAGGCAGTCATCCCTTTCCTGCTCTCTCTACCGGATGATCACCGACAATACAGGACTTGTTGCAGAGGGTAGCGGCAGACCTGGGAATCCCATTGGAGGAGATTCAGGACCCACAGTGTTGACTCCTGGACATTCTCCAACCCCAAGGGTCATCCATGGTGGCCATCCTGGAACTGGTGTGGACAGTGTGCCACACACCAGCCCCGTGTGCGCCCACACTTATGTGGGTGAAGAGGAGATACTTTGTGCCAGCTAAGGGGGCAGATTTCTTATTCACCCACCGATTCCCCAGCTCCCTTGTTGTCCAAGTGGCTGCAGAATGAGCAGGTCAGCAACTACAGAAGTCCACTCCTCCAGACCAAACAGCTAAGAGACTGGACTTGCTGGGCAAGAAAGTCTATTCTTCTGCAGCCTACAGTTTCACATTGCCAATTTCCAGGCTCTGCTAGCCAAGTATGACTCTAACAACTACAATAGGCTAGCAGAGTTCAAGGACAAGATCCCTCCGGAACACCAGGAGCAATTCCAGGCACTGATAGACGAAGGGAGATACCTAGAAGGTGAGCCTCCAGGCAGCAGTATTTTGATGCATGTGGGATTGGGTGGGCAAAAAAACAGACTGTGGTCATTTGCAGGAAAAGACTAAATCTCCTGTCAGTTTGTCATAAATAAAATTTCAGCAATGTAAAACAATTTTTTTTTAAATAAAGGTTTTAATACTTAAAATTTAAGCGAGGGATTGAAAGAGATTTGATGTCTATTATAACAGGAGTTAAAATATTTTTTTACGTAGTTTAAGCAAGATTTGTTTTATTCTTTTAGTGATAAATACTATGTCTGAATTCCATTTATATATGTATATATATATATATATGTGTGTGTGTGTGTGTGTGTATATATATATGTGTGTCTGTGTGTGTGTGTGTATATATTTATATATATAAAATTAACCGATGGTGTGGGGTTTTATTTTTAGTAGCATGGGGGAATCTCTCTTTCAGGATTTGCAAGATCTTAAGGTTTTTGCGGGTGGGATAAAAATGGAAGAAACAATGCCGGAGTGGGTAGAAGTGGATATTGTGGGGTGGGATGGGAGCGGGATTAAAAAAATAGTCCCGTGCAGGGCTTTACTTCAGCTCTCTTGAGTTGTTACTCATACTCATTCTCCCTAGTGTGTCAGGATCGACATAGACAATTTTCAATGGAGAAAGGAAAGTTATTTCCAGTAACTGGACTTCTCGAAATATATTGATTCTGCAGATCCACACTAACTTACTCACTTGCTCTCCTTCCCCAACAAGGAATTTTAATGTTACTCTGAATACTTGGGAAGGAACTATGAGGGTTGTTGGGGCTATGATTTCTTATATACTCTCAGTTCTAATGTTTGGATCAGTGAGGGGGATGGGTGTGACCTTGATGGGAACTGTTTTCCAGATGGTTCTGTATCCATGTGTCAAGGGTTGCTCAAGTCCCATGAGTGTGGATCTACAGAGGCAATATGCTTGAGCTTCAGTTACAGGTGAGTAACCTTCCTTTATCTTCCACTCTTTACAGCTATGAAGCTTATGACTGCTCTTGTGAATGTTGCCTTAAACCTGAGTATTCACCAGGATAATACACAGAGGCAGTATGAAGCTGAGAGAAACAAAATGATTGGTAAGAGAGCTAATGAAAGATTGGAGCTGCTGCTTCAAAAAAGGAAAGAGGTAAGTCAAAGATCCAAAGCTATTTTCCTAGTTATATCATTCACTCTCCTGAAAACATGTAAAAGAATATCTAAAGCACAAGTTATATCCTGAAAAAAATGTAGCCTTTTATAGTATTTATAATTTTGAAAATATGTGTTTTCTGTTTGTAGTGCAAAATTTCAAATTAGTTTACATTAACCTCTTCTCCACAAAGGGGAGCAAATTAATCAAGTACACCAAACAGATTTTGAAATTTAAATTATTCATGCTTTCTTGTGCTGTACTTGGGGAGAGAGTTTGGTTTTGTGGTTCAAGCACAATACTGGGAAACAAGAGATGAGTTCCGTCAAAGAAGTTCTCTGTGTCCTCAAGCATATTACTTAGGGCTACATTGTCAAGTGTTGGGTTCACACACACACAGCTAAGATTGTAAGCACTAGCTCTTCTGCACATATAGAATGATGGCTATTTTTTAAGATTAATATACGTGATGAGGCAGGCGGCAAATTAGTCCAGTATTGTGCATAGCATGCAGATTTTCGCTAAAAATAGAACAATGAGATTTTGCAGCGGATTCTGTGCTCCATCCAACTGTATTGCCCGCTTCTCCCTTTCCGCAGCACAACTGTAGCTCAGAGAGTGACATTACTTCTTTTTGCATTTACTTTGAAAGAATACCAAACTAAGGGGATATTAAAGTCACTTGGTAAATGCCAGTCTGGTACTAGGTGAGAAAAAAACATTATGGGGATGATGTAATTATCCAAAAATCAAGTATTAGATCCCAGGAAATTCAGAGTTAAGTTTGCACTTAAAAGAAATCAAAATATGATAATGTCCAGAATTGCACAGATAAGTCACCCAAACAACTTTAACTGTACCCTGTAGTGACGCCATGCAAAAATTATATGATTATGATAAAGGCATTTTAGTGTTTGTTGTCTGAGACTAGATAAAATTGATTAAAACTAATGTTTTTTTTTTAAATAATTTCCCCCCCATGATGTCACTACAATGCAGAGTTAAGTTGAATTAAGGTTGGTTGGGTGCCTTAACTGTGCATATATTTTGGATTTTTTTGAAGTGTAATCTTTAATCTGAATTTCATTAATTTATAATACTTGGGTTTGGGATAAATACAGCTTTCCTGTGATGTTTTTTCCCCTTTTCATAGATTTGAAGGTCAGAAGGGACCATTGTGATCATCTAGTCTAAGGTCCTGTATAACATAGGCTATAGAAATTCTCCAAAATAATTCCTACAGCATATCTTAGAAAAACATCCGATCTTGATTTAAAAAATTGTCTGTGATGGAGAATCTACCACTAACCTTGTGCAGTTCAACTGTTAATTACTCTCACCATTAAAAATTTGCTCCTTATTTCCTGTCGAATTTTGTCTAACTTCAATTTCCAGCCATTGGATGATGTTATACCTTTCTCTGCTAGACTGAAGAGCCCATTATTAAATATCTGTTTCCCATGAAGATCCTTATAGACTGTAATCAAGTCACCCCTTAAACTTCTCTTTATTAAGTTAAATAGATTGAGCTCCTTGTATCTGTCATTGTAAGGAACGTTTTCAAATCCTTTAATCATTCTTGTGGCTCTTCTCTTGAATTGTGGACACCAGAACTGGACACAGTATTCCAGCAATGGTCACACCAGTGTCAAAATAGAGACAAAATGACCTGTCTAGTACTACTTGAGATTCCCCTGTTTATCCGTCCAAGGATTACATTTGCTTTTTTGGCCACAGCTTCTCACTGCGAGCTCTTATTCAGCTGATTATCCACCACAATCCCTATATTTTTTTCAGAGTTGCTGCTTCCCATGGTACAGTCCCCCATTGTGTAAGTATATGTAGTTGGGATTATTTTTTCCAGTGTGCATAACATTTATAAGTGCAAAGTAGAATTTCATATGCCATTTTGTTGCCCAGTCACCCTGTTTTGTGTGATCCCTCTATAACTCTTCACAGTCAGCTTTGGACTTAACTATCTTAAATAATTATGTATCACCTGCAAACTCTTCTTTGCACTGTTCATTTCCTTTTTCTAGATCATTTATGAATATGTTGAACAACAAAGGTCGCATTACAGATCGTGGGGAAACCTGGCTATTTACATTTCTCCATTGAGAAAACTGACCATTTATTTCTACCCTATTTTTCCTATCTTTTAGCCAGTTACTGATCCACGAGAGGAACTTCCCTCTTATACCATGACTACCTAGTTTCCTTAAGAGTCTATAGCTCTGTTAAAGGCTTTCTGAAAATCCAAATACACTGTATCCACTGGATCACCCATATCCACATTTTTGGTGACACCCTCAACGAACTCTAATAGATTGGTGATGCATCTTTTCCATATACAAAAGCGGTGTTGACTCTTCCCCAACAAATTGTGTTTGTGTGTCTGATAATTCTGTTTTTACTATAGTTTCTACCATTTTGCCTGGTACTGAAATTACATTCATCAGCCTGTAATTGCCAGTATCGCCTTTGGAGCCCTTTAAAAAAAATTAGTGTTACATTAGCTCCCTTCCAGGTATCTGGTACAGAGGCTTGTTTCAGTGATAGGTTACATACTACAGTTAATAGCTCTGCAATTTTACATTTAAGTTCCTTCAGAACTCCTGGGTGAATACCATCTGGTCCTGGTGACTTCTTATTGTTTAATTTATCTATTTGTTCTCCTCTTCTATTGACACATCAATGTGGGACTGTACTTCAGATTTGTTTCCTAAAAAGAAGCAGTTTCAGCTTCTCTCTCCCTCCTTATCTCCTTGCCAGCTTATCAGTTCTCACTGATGTCCTGGGCTATTCATTATACACTCTATCCTTTTCTAAATCCAGGATGCTCTAATATTTAGTATCCTCCTTTTTGGTCCTAGGTTTAGCTTTGGGAAGAGTAAGCTGTTCTTAGTCTGACTGGAGCCAGGTAGGGTGTATTTCCCTATAAACAGATTTCAGGGACTCTTATCTGTGTCATAATTTTACCTTTCCTTCTTGGTTCCTTTAACACAGTGGCTCTCAACCTTTCCAGACTACTGTACGCCTTTCAGGAAACGAATTTGTCTTGTACCCCCAAGTTTCATCTCACTTAAAAACTACTTGCTTACAAAATCAGACATAAAAATACAAAAGTGTCACAGCACACTGTTACAGAAAAATTACTTACTTTCTCATTTTTATCTTATAATTATAAAATAAATAAATTGGAATATAAATATTGTACTTACATTTCAGTGAATAGTATACAGAGCAGTATAAAGTCTGTATGAAATTTTAGTTTGTACTGACTTTGCTAATTCTTTTTAATGCAGCCTGTTGTAAGACTAGGCAAATCTCTAGATGAGTTAATGTATTCCCTGGAAGACCTCTGCATACCCCTAGGGGTACGTATATCTCTGGTTGACAACCACTGCTTTAACAGCCCCTTTTAATTTAATTCCATATCAAACAATCCATGTTCAACAAATACATAGAAGGGCACACCATACTTCTAAGAAATAATACAGATATTTCCCAGTTTATCACACTGTTGTTTAGATCATTCTGGGCAAAGAAAAGACTGACACAAATGTTAAATTTCTCAAAGGAACCATTTAAAAATGAAATGTAATTCATTAATGGATTTACTTGTAAATTCAGAGAAAATTCATTCTGGACCCAAGTTTGGGGGAAACTCAACTTGGTATTAACTATGGAGCTGCAACTGCTGCCTCCATAATAGGTATACAAGAAATGGGTAACATTTTACCACTTCTGCAGGAATGCATGACAGACCTGTCAGATACATGATGGCCACGTGAGATGCATAACCCTTGGCAGGCCTATGAGGTGCTAGTGTTTGTTGGTGAAGAGAATAGGGATTCGTACATGGTTTGTTTGGACCACAAACCCAGCTATGTGTATTTCTAATAATTATTATTACCATTACTATTACCTATCTCTTCCTAATAACTGGGATCCCCACCCACACAAGAGGATACTATGACATCATCTGGATTGAGTGTCCCAACTATAAGATCGTTTCCCTCTGTTCCAGCTTGATGTTATTTTTCCTTGAGACTTTCATCCTCCTCAACAGCACAGAGGCAGTCAGACTGAGGGTGAGATTGCTCTACTGTGGCCCTGAAAGTCTCCTCTATATATACCTCTCCAGTTCAGCCACTCAGATCTCAAGAGTCTGTACTCTGTCTCTGAGGGGAATGAGCCAGGAACACAAAAGAGGCTCTTTAAATGCATTAGGAGCAAAAGAAGGACAAAAGAAAGTGTAGGTCCTCTGCTTAGCAGAGAAGGAAAGCTAATAATTGAAGTCATCAATAAAGTCAAAGTGTTTAATGCCTATTTTGTTTCGGTCTTCACTAAAAAGACTAATGCCGACTAGATACTCAACACAATTAATATTAACAAGGGGGAAAATAGGGAAAGAACAGGTTACAGAATATTTAGATAAGTTAGATGTATTCAAGTTGGTAGGGCCTGATGACATTCATCCTATGGTACTTGAGAAACTAGCTAAAGCAATCTTGGAACCATTAGTAATTATCTTTGAGAACTCCTGGAGGATGGGTGAGGTCTCAGAAGAATGGAGAAGGGAAGCTTAGTACTTTTCTTTAAAAAGGAGAACAAAGAGGACCTGAGGAATTAGAGATCAGTCAGCCTAACTTTGATATCTGGAAAGATACTGGAACAAACTATTAATCAATTTGTAAGCACCTAGAGAATAATAGAGTTATAAGGAATAGCCAGCATGGATTTGTCAAGAACAAATCATGTCTAACTAACCTAATTTGACAGGGTTACTGCGGGGGAGCAATAGATGTGATATATCTTGATTTTAGTAATACTTTGGACACTATCCCACATGACAGCCTCATAAGCAAACTAGGGAAATTCGGTTTAGATGAAATTGCTATTAGGTGGGTGCAAAATTGGTTGAAATACTGTGCTCAAAGAGTAGGTATCAATGATTCACTGTTACTGGGTGGGCATATCTAGTGGAGTCCCGG